AAAAATATTGACACTTCTGTCCTTATTCCTGAGTTTTAGTCATTTACAAACATTCAGTTTAATCCTTTGCTATATGTGATTGTGGGACAGGAAGATGAAGGATCCATTTCCCAAACCCCCCACCATCACCATAAATACACATAAAGTAGACTTGTATCCCTTTTTGCTATAGACCAGGATGTTACCACGCATGCATGTAATGTAAATACTAGCTGAGCAATACCAATCACTGACATAAGCTGTACTGGAAATCTTCTAGTTCAGTGGGTTACAACATTTAGATTCTAGTCACAGTTATCCAGTTATCCACTTAAGAGTCCCTGGGCACTTAGCCTGGCATCCTCACAGATAGGTGTGAGCATTTTAAAAAATATATTTGTAAAAATTCTAAGCAAATTGTGATACTATTACGCATATTATTTATTATAAGAAATTGGCTATCAGGAGACATTAAAGGAGAAAAGAGACAATAAACATGGCTAATAGGAAGACCGTGCTAAAAATACATATATGTATGTCTAAGATGCAGGCTAAAGAGGCAGGGCTCAATGTAATCAGAGGGTTGAAAGAGGTAACCTGAGTCAAACATCTCAGGAGATAATTAACACTTGGCTAGAGATCAGGTAGGACAGAAAAAATTCTGAAGGTGCTGAATTGCTGAATACCCATGTGGGAAGGCAATCTGTCATGCTTACTACACCAAGGACTGGTGTCCTTATGAGATGATGGCCATGTCAGGGCAGAGACACAGGAAAGTGCCTTGTGATTACAAAGAAAGATCCTGGAGACATGCAGCCACAGACCAAAGAATACCAACAAACCACCAGACACTAGGAAGAAGCAAGAAAGGATCTTGGAGGCTCCAGAGGGAGCAAAATCCTGCTGACACCCTGATTTCGGACTTCTAGCCTCCAGAACTGGGAGATAATGAATTTCTGTTGTTTTAAGCCACAGTTTGTACTACTTTGTTATGACAGTCCTAGAAAACTAACACAGAGAAGACAGCCTCTAACCCCAGAACAGGAGGAGAATCTTAACACAGGATCAGCCTCATGGAAGTAAAGGGGGATGTCTGTTTGTACCAGGGGTACTTTCCCTGGTGGTTACTGGGATGCTGGAGCCACTACTGCCCCTCAGATATTCACAGGCAAGGTTGTCACAATTACCCCCAAGTTAGTCCCTCAGAGAAGCCATGCAGGTTGCAGTGGTCACAGCCTGGATTATTGATGGCTTCACGTAGCTGTTGAACCAACAAACTGCAACCACCTACCTCTGTCCTTACTCAAGAAACTTAATTTCCTATTAAGTCATTTTGCTTAAGGTAATCTGTTAAATACAGCTTTCTATGTGGAGTGTTTTTCTTTCCCTCTTATCTTCTCTGAGTCATAGTATGAAGTACTATCACATAATGGGCACCCTTAGAATTTTTCTTATTTTATATTGCTGAGTTGATACTTTTACCCAGTATTGTTCAACTTTAGTAGTATCCAAATAGGGCAGTGAGAGGGAATAAGTGAAGAGGGATGACAATCCTAGAGTCAATTTATGCTGCAGCTTTGAGCTGCCCCAGTGAACTGTGCATCTGGACTGCTCATCAACATGTGATTGTGGTATGGTCACATTCTATTACCTACCTGGTTTGGAGTATAGCCTATTGAAGCTATTCAAGCTAGTGAAATAAAAATGGAAATAAAATTGGGAAAAGAATCATTTGGTTCCATTTCTCAAAATTAGATAGGATCAAGGATATTTCAGCTGTTTTTTCAAAATAAAAGTGCTGGTCACTTGCAATGATTTCATTCCACTGGTACTGGCTCTGCATGCATTGTTGTCATATTTAATCTCAACACCATTTATTCACACTAGAGAAGTGAAAGCATATTAAAATCATATATTGTACAGGCTGTTATATGAAGACAATGTTCATCTGAACCACTGCTGATTATCTACTTTCAAGAACTGCTCTTGACCCAAAGCTTTGCTCACCAGGGAGAGTATAAACGTTTGTGGAATCAAACTGTTGCATGGAAGATTATTCCTGTGGACATTCTTATGGAGAATTATGAAGCAAAAAGGAGCATTTTTGGAAAAAGTAATTCTCCATTTAGAAAATAAAAACATGAGGGATGTGTAGGTGTCTCAGTGGTTGAGCAGCTGCCTTTGGCTCAGGGTGTGATCCCGGATTTCCCCGATCGAGTCCCACATCAGGCTCCTTGCATGGAGGCTGCTTCTCCTCCCTCTGCCTGTGTCTCTGCCTCTCTCTGTGTGTCTCTCATGAATAAATAAAAATCTTTAAAAAAAAACATAAAAAAAACATAAGGATTGTGTAGGCTTGAGTCCCAAGAACTGCAGGCTAGGACCCAGAGCATATCGGGCACAAGCACACATCCTGAGAGAATCTTTGAGGCATGCATGAGCAATCAGGCACTTGCTGCCAAAAGGCACTGTCCAAGTCTCCACACTGCCATCTGCTTACCTCAACTTAACCACTACAGCAGTAGGATGCCATGCTGGCTTTTCCCTGCTGAGAACACAACTAGTTCCAGACAATCCGAGGCTCACCACAGACCACTAAACTGCCCCTTACAGAAACATTCCACATATTTTTATTCAACCTGGCTGAAACTGAAGTCACAAACACCTCTTGAGAAATGTAGAAAGTCAAGAGCAGTCTTCTCTTATTTACATTCTGTGATTCTGGGAACACCAGCTTCCTGTGTGTTAGAACAACACCATTTCTGTGTTATGTCACCCTAAATATGAGTTGAATGGCTTCAGTTATGCTTTAATAACAGATCAATCAAAATCTACAGAGAAATTTGTTAATACCAAAGCCTCCTCAAACTACCCTCAAAGTTCATCTTCTCCTTTGGCTTCTTTTTACTAATGGATTCAATTATTCAACAGATGCTTATTGAGCTTATTCTGTATCAAGCTCTATGCTGAGAGCTGGACATCCCTAGACCCTGCTGACAATTACAATGGGATGATGGCAGTATGCTAATGGACGCTGTAAAGGCTGCAACAGAAATTTAGGGACAGGAGCTTCAGTGTCATCCAGGGATAGGGAAGGTTTCCTATAAGAGAGAGATGCATTTGAGCTGAGACTTGAAGATTGAGGAGGCATGTTTCAGTGTTCTGAGGGCTACTCAAGAAGATAAAATGCATGAAAGGATTTAAAGGAATATTCTATCAACATGGATTTGGTGTAAACTTGTTGTTTGTTCACTACTCTTGAGGCTTAAGCACAAGTAAATTGGAGAACAGTAACCTGCGATGAGGCTGGATAGGGAGAGAGAAGCTGAAACATGAAATGCTCTTTGTTCACCATCCAAAGAAGGTTTTTTTTTTTTTTTTTTTTTTTTTTTTAATTTATGATAGTTACAGAGAGAGAGAGAGAGATGCAGAGACATAGGCAGAGGGAGAAGCAGGCTCCATGCACCGGGAGCCTGATGTGGGATTCGATACCGGGTCTCCAGGATTGTGCCTCGGGCCAAAGGCAGGTGCCTCGGGCCAAAGGCAGGCGCCAAACCGCTGCGCCACCCAGGGATCCCCTCCAAAGAAGTTTTGATTATGTCCTACAGGGTTTCTCAAAGTGGGATTCACAAAGTCCCTATGAAAATGTTTACATTTTTGTAGCAATGATAATTTTATTAGCAATAAAATGGGAGGAACAGTGATAACATATTCCAAATCATCTGGATAACCATTTGCCTCACAATTTCAGTACCCCTATTTATGTTTAGTTATTAAATAGGCATAAGCCAACAGAAATGTACCAGTTAGAGACCAAAGGGATGCTGTTTGAACAAAGATCACACTAGCTGAAATGAAGTCAAGCGGTGGGAGAACTGGGTCACCACATGGTACATAGTAGTAAGTATAACAAAATAACTTAAAATAATACATGCTGTCATGCTCTAAAATGTAGTCATACTACAAAGGACAACTGAGTTTCATAAAATAGTCTCATTAAGTTAAAAGTGCTTATTTGAATGACACCGGCTTTGTGGCTTTTTCATAACAAATTTTTTCCTTTTAGTTTTATAGTTCTATAAATATAAGGCACAAGGAGTTTATATCTAGTTTCATGTTTTCAGAATCTTAAATGAACATTTAACATTTGCATAAACACTGGAGTCTGCAGGGCTTTTCTTTTTCTCCCAAACGGGCCAATCCATTACCCAAAATGGGCCTATCCATTACCCAAGTATGAAAGAGGACCACAGACAAACTTTCATCAGTTGGTGTGAACTGATTACTTTGCTAGGAGACCACCTGCACAGTCTCATAGAATAACAGCCAGGGGGACAGAATGAAGGTAGGGCCTCTAGGGCGTTGACTGCCTGAGTCCTCTTATTAAAAGCATCCATTTCCTTAAATCCAGAGATCTGCTCAGAGCACAGGCCTTAGTACTGTGGAATTAAATGCTGACTAGGTAAGCAAAGCTGTACCAGTGTTTCAGGGTAAGTCTTATCTAGCTGGAAAATTCCCCAAACATACATCATCTCACAGAGGGCTCTGTGATGATGCCAAAACTAAATTAGAACCAAATCCCAGGTTTTACTAGAGATCCAAAAAAGTACACAAGAGAAGCTGCTATCTACCTGGTAACAAAAAACAACCAGCACCTCTGCATATAGTGCTGTACTCCGCTTGGAGCTTAAATCTTTCTCATTACCAAGCATGTGTCACTGAGCTGCACTTATGCAGGGAAGGTGACTTTTTCTAATTTACACAAAGGCTGGGTGAACTTGCCAAGCCATTACCTGTCTCCAGAGAGGGCTGCATCTTCTGGAAGCAATACCTTTTTCTAATTGCATGAAGGTAACCTATAGGCTAGCTATGACTTAATCCTGCTTTTCTGAGATTATGTGTCTCATTATCACTCCCCAAAAACAGAACTTAGAGTTCTGAAAATTTTGTGAAGCATATGACTTTCCCATAAAAAGGAATAGTGCCAACACACTCAACAAACATAATAAATGCCTTCTGCCTACCTCAGGAGCCATCCAGAACGGGGTACCAACAGATGTGTTTCTCCGTAGACGTGTACTGGTGAGTTGAGCTGAGACACCTATAAGAAAAGGGTATTGTAATTCAGCAGAGAACAGAGGAGGATGCTAGACCAGAAACTGGCAAACTTTTTCCATAAAGGGTCAGATGGTCAATAGGCTTTGAGAGCCTTATTGTCTCTATCATAACTACTCAAATCTACCAATGGAGAGCAAAAAAGCAGTCATGGACAACACAGAAACAAATGAGAGTAGCTGTGTCTCCATAAAAATTTATTTATAGATGTATATAATTTTCACTTTTGAAAATTTTGATCTTTTTTCCCCAATCATCTAAAAATGTAGAAACCATTCTTCTTTCACAGGTCATATAACAAGAGGCAGGTCAGATTCAGCTGACACACTGAAGTTTGCCAATAACTGTGTGGGAGCACTTACCACTCTATCTAAATCATTTGAATTTTTTTTTCTGCTAATGAACATTCCTATCTGTATTGCTACAAAACTGGAATCAAAAGAAAATACCAAGAGGCACCTGGGTGGAGCAGTCGGTTAAACATCCAATTCTTGGTTTTGGTTCAGGTCATGACCTCAGGGTCCTTAGACAAAGCCCCATATCCAGCTCCAAGCTCTGAGGGGAGAGTCTGCTTGAGATTCTTTCTCCCTCTCCCTGCCCCTCCCCCAACGTATGTGCATACTCTCTCAAATAAATAAGTAAATCTTAAAAAAAAAAGAAAATATCAAAAACTAAACCCAAAATATCTTCCTATTATATTTCCAAACTATTTCAGGTGATTTCTTTCTTAAAATGGTGCTTCATTTTATGGAGGAAGAAAATCGGCATGTGTTATCTATAATAGAGCATCAGTGTAGACATAAAAAGGTTTTAGTCCTTTATCTTACCTTGAAGCCTGGAAACCTGGCAAGAAAACCATGTTTGCCAAATGGAAAAAGAAGTTGACTAATAATATTATTATCTAGGGTTCAGTGCTAAGGACCTGAATTTTAATATAATTCTAACATATTTTATCTATCGTAGTTTTCAGACAGCTTTTGTCTTTATATAACACGTGAATAAAGTAGAAGTAAAGATGTACTGGATTAGGAGTCAGAAAACCTATTTTCCATCCCAATTATGCCTTTCCCTAATTGTATGACCTCAAGCAGATCCCCTCACTCTGAGCCTCAATTTTCTTATTCTCAAATTGGGGATAATGATACCTGTTACATCTAACACAAAGGATTCTTCTAAAAGATCAAATAAGAAAACGTATGTGAAATAACCTAAAAATTATATTTTACAAATATAAGGTATTCTTTTACACCAAGCAGAAATCTAAGGCAGCCATTAACAGAATAACAAGCATTGCTACTAATGCTATGGATGATGAAAACTTAGAAACCTGAATCAGGCAGAGATTTGTCATGGGTTGTTTTGGATGGGTGGCTGCCGGATGTTTGCATTTTCTTTATTAGAAATCCAAAGAGGGCTCTCTAAACTCTATTGGCCATGGATAATTTGTTATTTTGCCAAATTCTCTACTATAATTTTGTTTATTTGGTTTTTCAAAAATGTTTTATTTATTTATTCATGGGAGACAGAGAGAGAGAGAGAGAGAGAGAGAGTGCGCGCCAGAGACAGAAGCAGGCTCCATGCAGGGATCCCAACGTGGAACTCCATCCCGGGTCTCCAGGATCACGCCCTGGGGACTGAAAGCAGCACTAAAATGCTGAGCTACCAGGGCTGCCCTATAGTTTTGGTTTAAAAAAAAACTTTACTTTTCAGTTTTTAATTTCTAGAAATTTCTTTTGAAGCAACTGGAAGTTTAGGATGTTCTACTAGCAAGATTAGGAGACTCACTTCAAACCACAAAACTGGGGAGTAGATTAAATCAGCATGAATCCCCATCCTCATCCTTCTAGGCTCTCTCTCTCACTATACATTGACTACCCTTCGGATCAAGTGTAAAATATATCTCTGATGTTATCCACAGCAAATTCTTAGGTTACACCATTCCTTATATAGAAGGAGGAGCATAAGACTTGAACAAAGTATCCCTCTGCTAATTTTCTTTTCTTACCCTATTAGAAAATAAACCAATACACCTAAAGTAACTTCATTTATTTCTGAGTTATTTCTTCTGAACAAATCATTCACTGATACATTTTAAAACTGCTTTCTTAAGAACAAAACAATGGATATTCAAAATCATCAATCTTTTCTATTATTTGACATTTATAAAGAACATTTTAAAAAGTGCTTCTGTAAATGTTTTCTCATTATTTGTAACAATCATACTGAAGTACTAACTGTTGTTGAACACATTTAGAAGATTAGATCAGGGGATCCCTGGGTGGCTCAGCGGTTTAGCGCCTGCCTTTGGCCCAGGGCGCGATCCTGGAGTCCCGGGATCGAGTCCCACGTCAGGCTCCTGGCATGGAGCCTGCTTCTCCCTCCTCCTGTGCCTCTGCCTCTCTCATAAATCTTTAAAGAAAAAAGATTAGATCATTCAATAATTTATAAAGGAAAACCAAATGGTTTGTTGGTTTGTGAATATCAATATATGAATGTTCCAAGGAGATATTTAATAGGTCTCTGGCCTTAGGTAATATTGCTCTGCACTTCCTCTCACACTTCCATTTCCTGTTAATGTTTCCAGTTGAACCAGCCTCACATGTAGCTGCAATAATCACAATTTAAAGGGATGTTAGCTGCCAGACCCAAAGGACTATTTTACCTTCTGCTCACTGGGAGTAAGAATGCCTGAGGCTAGAAAGAGTCATTTGAAAGACCAAACTGTTTTCTCTTTTCATATGCAAAAGAAGAAATGACGAAATGTAAATTACAGACAACAGCCCTGAGACGTAAAATTCTTCCCAGAAAACCTAAGTTTTTCCATCAAATTCTTCTTTTGAAACACTTTTATTTTCTATCTTTAATAAAACTGCTTCTAAAGCTGAAAATAGATTAACAAACAGCATCTCCTAGGGTGATCCATCTGGTAAACCCCCCACTCTCCAGTCTGTGTTTGACTGGAAAAGTCCCTCAGCCTATGGGATAGCAGAGAGGCCCCAGTCTTCTGAGACTGCAATAAATTGTTGCCTTGGGCTAAAGTGCACACATCATGAAAACAAACGACAAGCAGTCATTACCAAAGTCAACGAGCTTAACTCCTCCTTCTGTTGTCAGAAGAATGTTATTCCCCTTGACATCACGGTGGATGATTCGGTTATTGTGCAAATGCTGAAGACCCTGCATAGTATTCCACCACCACCAAACAACAGGAAAGAGAAAGGGGAAATTTGAATGGTTATTTTAAAACAATTACCCTACCTTTAAAAATCCAATCAACATCCACATTTGGCTACACCTCCCTGCTGTTATACACCTTGCATATTACCGGGCCATTTCCACTTGTTAATATATAATGGTGATCAGTTATTACAAATTGCCCCCTCTAATGTCATCCCCAGTTTGATGGTTCTTACCAAGAGGGCCCCATATAAGATGTAGGAGATCATTGCTTCATCCAACCGCTGGCCACACCTGAGTCGACCTTTGACAAGCTCCGTGACTGAGCCCCCATTACACAACTGCAAGAGGAGGTGCCAAGGAGAGAGATACAGCAGGAGAACACATACAAAAGAAAAAGAAAAAGATGTTAAGAAGAAAAACTGCTTATTGACCTGATGTAGTAAATTTACAGATCACAAAACTCCAGGTTGTAATAAACTTCAAATTTACATTATATAGTTAAACGTAGTGTATGTATGTATATTATTCAGGGTAATGATTTATAAGTGAAAGTACATGTCAAGTAAAATATAAAAGCACAAATTATTTAGACATTTGAAAGAGAGAGCATATGAATAATCATGGTGGCTTACTGGATATTTTTTATTTACATGAATATTGTCTATTAAAAAAACATGCACATATTTTAAGGATAAGAGAAGACCAGAAGAGGCAAAGATGAATGCTGTTGACATTTTGGGAAGGAATGAATTTCATTTCAAACCCTCCTGTCTCCAGGGCTAGCACTACAGGCATCAGAAGCCCAACAGCAGTTCTTTCTAGAATTGCCATTATATGTCAAATTTATGGGGTAGGGTTGCCTCATTTGTGCATATAACCTTCTCATACTCAACCTTAGGCATTCAGCAACTTTATGTCCTTCTTTTTCTTCTGTAATGAAAAACACTGTAAAAGTATATCTTGCATATTTACTCTTTAAGTATTATACATTACTGAGATTTGAGAGTAGTAGATGAGCCAAGCATACTATACTTTCATGGAAACTTAAGAGTTTTCAAGGATAATTTTTGCTAACTGTAGAAGTCAATATGCAGGTATGGGCTTGCTACCTGCCATCTTAAATCAAAGGTTCTATTTGTTTTGAGCAGGACATGTAAATACCTTGAAATTGTAGGTAGCATGTTGTATACACATCTTGCATTTTTTCTGAGAAAATTCAGAGCCTTCTTCAGATTCTCAGAGCCATCCTTTCTTTTATAAGGTTAAGACCCCACTTTAGACCTAGGTTTCCTTCTGGTACTTTGTCTGCGATTTGGGAGAGTTAACTAGTGAACAGTAAGGGGGGTCCCCCTGGTTTGTGTCTGCTTGAGTCAACTGGCTTTTCATAAACAAGGAATTATGAATAAACACAGATTAGCACCTTTCTTTTTTTTTTTAAGATTTTACTTATTCATGAGAGACACACACACACAGAGGCAGAGATAGAGGAAGAGGGAGAAGCAGGCTCCATGCAGGGAGCCCGATGTGGGACTCGATCCCGGGTCTCCGGGATCAGGCCCTGGGCTGAAGGCAGTGCTAAACCGCTGAGCCACCTGGGCTGCCCGATTAGCACCTTTCTTAAAGGAAGACAACTCTTTATCAAATAATACATTAGGATCTATTTCACTATAATTATGAATACCGTCTACGGCCATACCACCCTGAACGTGCCCGATCTCGTCTAATTATA